CGTTTCGCCAAATTTGGTCCAATGCTGGGGCTGCCAAGCAATGGCTTGCCAATATTGGTCTAAAATTCGGCCAATCTTCAAATGCCAAGGTTAGGCACATTAACGTTTCGCCAAGTTTGGCCGAATAGTGGTCAGCCAAGTATTGGGTGGTCAATATTGGTCCAAGACTCGGTTAATCTTTAAACGCCAAGGCTAGGCACACTAACGTTTCGCCAAGTATGGCCCAATAGTGGGGCAGCCCAGCATTGGGTTGTCAATATTGGTCCAAGGCTTGGTTAATCTTGAAATGCCAATGCTAGGCACATTAACGTTTTGCCAGGTATGGTCCAATACTGGGCAACTCAGCATTGGATTGTCAATATTGGTCCAAGACTCGCTTAATCTTCAAATGCCAAGACTAGGCACATTAACGTTTCGCCAAGTTTAGCCGAATAATGGACAGCCAAGTATTGGGTTGTCAATATTGGTCCAAGACTCGGTTAATCTTCAAATGCCAAGACTAGGCACATTAACGTTTCGCCAAGTTTGGCCGAATAATGGACAGCCAAGTATTGGGTTGTCAATATTGGTCCAAGACTCGGTTAATCTTCAGATGCCAAGGCTGGGCACATGAACATTTCGCCAAGCTATATTCAAATTGAATGCAAATTCGAGAATAGGTATAATATCATGATACATGTGAACCCTACGTTAATAGCTGTGTCAGTTTTTTAACAAAAAATAATTTAAATGCAATAAAATAATGAAAGGGTAAGTAGACCGGTGCTTTGAATAGCTAAAATATGTATTATTGTATATGTATATCCTTAACAGCGCCAGCATAAAGCATATAGCGTTACAGACCGTCACATCTTATTATCTGAATGTGGTTTGTATCGGCCAGTTGAGAGTGTGTTGAGTTATATTTGTTTAGTTATATCAGTATTTTAATTGTGAATTTACATAATGTCTACACAAAATAATTATCGTCAAAGAAAATGGCGGATTTTTAGAAGACGCATTAAAATTCAAAACTAATAGTAGTTCTGACAGAGAAGACAACAGTGTTGGTAATAGTGGTGATGGTCATAATTTATCAGAAGAATTTGCAAATGAAAAAATTAATAGTGAAATTGTTATTAATGATTCAATAACGAAAGAAAATAATCAGTGTGATCGTGATCTAAATTTTATTGCAAATGGTCCTGACAGTTTAAATAATAGTCTGGAAGATGAGCAGCGTAACAGTAATATACAATTTAATGAACCGCATTACAATTTAACAAATGATATTCGTAATTGGGCTATTAAAAATATAAATACATTAACATTAAAAGCAGTGTCCGAATTGTTAACGGTGTTAAGAGACAATGGACTATCATCTTTGCCGAAAACGGCTCAGCAATTGTTGAAAACTATTCACCGCCGTCCGTTACACAGTATGACTAGTAATCGTGAAACAAAAGGTTATTACATTTATTTGGGAATTAAAAAAAGTTTAGAAAAAATTATACTTCCTAATATTTACGACGAAAACAAGTTAAAAGTTCAAATACATATTGATGGAATGTCATTGTTTCACAATTCATTAATTCAGGTGTGGCCTATAGTTTTAAACATTTTTCATCAAGGGTACATCACTACTCCTATTGTGATAGCGTTATTCTGTGGCGATTCAAAACCTCGATTCGTTGGTGAATTTTTAGAAGATTTTATAAAAGAAGCGAATGAGCTAATTGAAAACGGCATTATCATTAACGAAAGAAAATATGATTTTAGTATTATGTGTATCATTGCTGATGCTCCAGCCAGAGCTTTCTTAAAATGCTGTAAATCACCAGGGGTCTATTATGCGTGCGAAAGGTGTTCAGTAAAAGGCATAACTGTTGCACGGAGACGTGTATATCCAGAAATGGATTGCTCTAGTCGTACGGAAGCTTCTTTCAAAGAAAAAAATCAAGCACATCATCATATTGAAAATATAGAATCGCCATTATGCAAGTTGAAAAAATTTGATCCTGTACATGATGTGGTTCTAGATTCAATGCATCTGTTGTATCTAGGAGTTGTAAAACTTTATTAGAAAAATTGTTAATTAAAAAGAAGCACATAGCGCGCTTACGAATTCCGCAGGTTAAACTTTTAAAACTGAGAATGTCTTCTATATCTTCGGATATTCCAAATGACTTCCAAAGAAAAAACTTCGATATTAAATACATATCAGGGTGGAAAGCGACGCAGTTTCGTTTATTTTTACTTTATTGTGGTGTTTTGGCCTTTAGAAATGTTTTAAGTAAAGAAAAGTATCAACATTTTCTATTATTATATGTAGCATGCCGTATACTTAATGCCCAAAAAAATGCCATTTATCAAGCGGAGTATGCAAAAAAATTACTTCGTAATTTCTTTTATTTGCTACCTTCGCTTTACGGAGAAGACAGTCAAGTTTTAAATATGCACAATTTAATTCACATCGCAGATGATATACGTCATTTTGAACTTCCACTAAGTCAAGTTAGCGCATTTTGGGGAGAAAGCTATATTTCTCTTTTCAAAAAATTAGTAAAATCTCCGAAACAACCTCTCACATAAATTGCAAATAGATTGCACGAAATTGAATCCAGGCCTAATGCAAATATTAAAGTGAAATCTATAAAATGCTTATGTCAGTTTCATCAAAAATTTAAGGACTTAATAGATTATGAAGGACGACAGTTTATAAAAATTAATAAAATTACAGTTAAACAAATGACGTTGAAATCCATACATCCTAATAACGTCGTAATGTTAAATAATGGAAAAGTATTTAAAATAACTACAATTTTGAAACTGTGTACCAATAATAGTAATAATAGTAACTTATTTAACGAACAGTGTGAACTCAGTGAAATCTATATAAATGGATTCGAAGAAGAAAGGAGAAGTGAAGTGTTTGATTATCCAACTTCATCAACAGATGTTGGTGTTATTAAAATTGACAATCTTTCAAAATCATTAGCATTACATAACGTTTCATACATTCGGTGTAAATGTGTTCTTTTAAACATAGATAATACCACAGCCGTCTCTACTTACAAGCCATGCTGAAGGTTTACTTGGCAACACTGTGGGAGTCCCAGGATTTCCCAGTTAATGAGAGTTACAACTAATACATTGGTTGTTGTGTTTTTTTCGTTGTTCTATAATATTTTAATTTTAGCGGAAATATCGTGCAGTAAATGTGCAATAAGGATGATTATAGTGTGTTATAGTGATTAATACCTT